GTGTTCAATAGAAATGGCACATGCGGCAGTTTAAGTTCGATGGAGGGATTGCTTCTAAAACTAGGATATTGACGATTCAACCGTCGGTTTCGACGGTGTCCACCACAATCTGTAGTCCGCTGAAGGCAGACAGGTGATGGTAGTTAGTTCACTGAACTGGTCGTAGAGGATAGCTGAAAGTATATAGCCTGCCTAACGGGTAGGGGTACGAGTTCGCCTCATTTCTCGGAAAGTGATATTCTCTCGATAGTGGCGACAGGCTGGCAAAACATGCGCTTCAAGAGAGATTAAGGATGACTTAGTTATTCTGTATAGTTTTGGTTCGAAGATCATTGTACACATAACCCGACGTATTCAATAAACAAATTCCGAACGTGGATACGGAAAAGGTATATAAGACGGGCTTCCATAAAATAAGCTAACTGGTCTGCGCCCAACTGGCGTTGATCGGCCTGTTTTCAAGAAATTGACAGGAGATATGAAGTTTATGTTTTGGAGGAGATAAACTGTTTTTTGCGGATGGAAACCAGTGGCGCTGGCATCAAAGCATAAGAAATCGATGAGACTCACATTTAACAAATTTTCATGCATGTAGGAAGTGAAGCACTTGAGCAAAGTCACTTTCTTGGCCAAAGAGTTGGGATAATCAACCATGGTATACAAATATTCCGTGCCACTTTTGTCGATGTACTGCAGATTCTCAGAATTGGCCGTCAAAAGCAGGCGGGTTCCGTCATTGAACAAAACGCCATTCGAACTGTCACAAAGATGATATCCAATGCCATATTTATCCGAGTAATCCACCCATTTTGAAACCCAATAGATAGGTATGCAAGCTGGATCTTCGCTATCTTCCATGGCTTTGAGGGAATTTCTTGCCGCTTTGGGGGCAGTAATTACTTCGTTTATCTGCAAACTATAGGGTATAAATGAAAAATACCTTCTTTTGGAGAGAGCTCAACCAAAAATCGTCAGAATCACAGTCACGATTCGCGTCCACGTGTACTGCAGACACATTTAGGTTGGCGTCGATTGCCGACAGAGGCTTTCTTTCGGTAAGATTGCGACAGAGGTTGTCAAACCGAGGACTAGTTGTCAGGGCGCTAACAGGCAGACAGTTCGGAGTAAAACCCTTGAAGAATTCATGTTCTATCACACTGAACATGCTTGGTCGTTTGGATGGGTCTGCGTCTAAAAGGGCCCGGATGAGCCTGGACGCCGGCACAGAGACCCCCGGAGGGATTAAGTACTCATTCTTTTTAATCCTTTCGTAGGTCTCCTTGAGGTTCGATGTCTCAAACGGAGGACGACCGACAAGTAGGGTATATCTGGGAAATAAAACATGAGGGAGACAAAGACATACAATATGCATCCAATCGACCACGAGTCGACTTCAAAACTGTGACCATGCTTGGTGAGAATCTCAGGAGCTATGTAATTTGGTGTACCACAAAGTGTCCTTTTCTTTTCTCCTTCATTTGATAGTTTACAGGCCAAACCAAAATCTCCAATTTTGATCACCATCTCATCACTCAAGAAGAGATTGGCCAGTTTTAAATCACGGTGAATAATATTGTTCAGATGCAAATACTGGCAGCCGTTGACCGTCTGTCTAACAAAGTAACGAGCTTCAGGCTCTGTAATGTGTCTTCTCCGTTTGTGTAACTCCATCAACGTCTAAAAACGCATCTCAATTTGTATAGACGCTTACCCGTCGAGTACATAATTCAAGTAGGATATAGATGTTGCTACTATCATCGAATGACCGATGAAAGTTTACAATATTCTCGTGTTTCAGTGAAGAATGGATGATAATCTCCTGTTGCATTTTTTGCTTCTGCGACGGTTTGACGAGATCGGCCTTGCACACAACTTTGCCTGCATACTTGACGTGCGTATCTTTGTCAATTAGTTCCCAGCACCGTGCAAAGCCACCCTACGGACTCAAAATAAAAATATTCAGCAAACCTTCCCCAAGAATCTGCCCTTGATGTACGTTTTTCGATTTTTAACGTCGGTGATGACGTTGGGGATCTCTTTTGGCTTCGGCTTCTCTGCGCGTTCCATCGGTTAAGAGGGCGCAAAAATCGAAAACGATGTACGCGCCAACCAAAGCCAGTTGCCGAAGTCGCGGCGTTTAAATCGCCAACCAGAAAAACTCATTTCAGTCTAAATAGACTGCACGACTTTTCCTGTTTGCATAAGGGTCGCTTAATTCTGCATCATGAAAGTGGAAAAGAAGCTCTGCATAAATTGTAACAGAGATCAAATTTTTGGTCCACATCCCGTAGCCAACGCAATAAAACCGCAAAGGCTACAGGCTGTAACTTAAAAGTGAAACGACTACGCCAGGGAAAGATTAATTTAGCGAATCCAAAGACTTCTCCCGGCTAAAAATTGTGGTTTCCTTGGAATTATATGAATTTTCCACGATATACTACTGCAATAGCTTTGGTATTTGTGCAACCGGCGTATTACTGTCTAGCAATTATTGGAATTAATGCCGGTATTTTACCCTGAAGTACTAAATAATCGTACTATCATAAATATTATAGCATATATAATGGTACGTTTGGATATCAGTAAATTTAGTTTGTTTTGTTTTTCCTCGTGAAACCACTATACAGTTGTTTAAGTTTGAAGGAGATTACACGTAATATTATATGTCATGCCGTTTATACCTAACCGAGACTGGATTATTTCACTTTTTTGTGGTAAATGCACTGATAATGTTCATTGTAGTTGTCCCATAGCGCTTCCGCTTCCGCTTCACCCCCCTCATGAGATCATGTAATGGCTGTCCTGTTCGTCCGTGGGACAGCTAATCACATGTGCCGCTAACTACCCCGGAGCTCAGCATATCGCAGTAGCTACTAAGTGTGGATACACCAAAGCCTTTCTCCCCAATTCATCTGACCAATCAGCTTTTAATGCTGACTTACATAACGACCACTTTAGAGGCTTGTGATGATTGCCGCACTGACATCCAGTTGCCTCGTCGCCGGACGTGCAGTAGTCCGACAGTCAACTTCCTCTTATCTATTCTCGCTACTTCCGTACAGAATAAACTATTTCTTCCACCTGACATCTCACTTCTTTTCATTCCACAAGGAACCGGACCTGAAGATCGCACCGGCAAGGGTTGTACCTTAACAACTCGACCCCATGCGATAAACTTATTAATTGGGTTTCCCTATAGCCGGCTCTCTTTCCCAGAAGTAGAACTCTGATAATTCGTCTATAGACGTCGCCTATCGGGGACTTTCATGAGATCTAATTGTATGAGGACTGGGCCCTGTATTTTGACGTATCCCCGTTATACGTTCTCATGTTCATCTTCAGCCATTTAACAGTAACATAACTCTTTTCCTCCTTATAACACGAGATGCGCTACTTTACCGTTCATACACTTGGCAATAACGTTAAAGCCATTTATATGACATTTTTATATTAGTGAACACTTTACTGTTTATCCTATGGTTGCCTGTCCGTTTTTGAGTAATTACGCTCCGTTTGGTTTCCCTTAACTCCCTTGTTATTTGTTTGATTTTATTTTTCTCTAGTACCATGCGAACTGAATTGATCTCACTGTTACGGGGAAGTTGTTTTTAAGCGTATTATTTGTTTTTCTAATCCCTTCAGAATCTTCTTATCCCAGCACAACCAGACCAACATTATGCACATCGTTATAGAATAGGCAAGGCTCTTCACCCGTTATTAGGCGACCCTAGGCAGTTATAGACCGCCCCACCCCGGTCTATTGTAGTTATGTCTTCCGTGCTGCATGTGATTAATCTGTCGGCTAATCTTTTCCACACTTTGAAACCAGGTATTTGTTATTTTTAGTCGAAGATCTCCGGAACGCATCACTTAGAGCTTACTTTCCGTACCCCAATGGGTGCTGATTAAGCTTTTCTCCATAACGACTAACTGAAGAGCATTAATTCGGCGATGGATTGACACATTTCATATTTCGTAGATAGACAATATATGGACGGG